CTAATTTAATTTTAACTAATTTTATCATATATCCGCAATGCTGTTTCCTTGTATACAGATAACAGTCTATATCAGTAACCTCATTTACACTACATCTAATGGCCAACCCGGTAGCGTAACTAACATGAACGTTATTTGGTAGTATAAGTGACATTAACTGACGTTAGGTATACGTATACTGATGCAAACTGGAGTTTTTTCACGGGCTTGGCAGGTTTGCAAATTACCCTTCTGATTTGTTTCATGGTGAAGCATCAGTGTCATTGACTGACTTTACGTACGTAGAACAAACAGTGACTATTATCACGTGCTTGAGTTGTTGACATGAACTCCTGTGAGTTGGCCAATGGTGAGGTATCAGCGACATTTACTGAGTTTACGTACGTACATACAATACGAACTGTGACTATTATCAAGGGCTTGTGAGTTTTACATATATACATTGTACCTCTGTGATTTTGTTAATGATGTACATATAGTATAAATGGCATCAACTTAGCTATGTACGTAATAAATGCACTTGTTATTATCATTAGTTTGTGAGATTTGTATAAACGCGTCTGTTTTGATTTATGATGCGGTATCGATGACATCAAAATACTTTATGTACGTTATACACCATTGTGTACGTTATACACCATTGTTATAATCGAAGGCTTGTGTGTTCGATATTCTTGTGTGAGATTTATATACAGTAAATAAACCTCGATATAATGGCCCTCGTTTCATTGCCACCCCGCTTATTACCAACTTAATCAAAACAACCCTTTTCTTTTCTATACGCCCGTCGAAGACGGGCGGTCATGCGAACGATGTCCGCTCGATATCTCAAGTAAATATTAACGGATTAACTTGAAACTTCACAACAAGGTTAATTACCATGAAACCTCGGACATGTTCGATAACCGCTATTATCCGACCATAATTTGTGGAGTTATGCCCCTTTACTTGCCGAAACAGTGTCCGCTCGATATCTCGAGTAATTATTAACGGATTAACTTCAAACTTCACAACAAGGTTAATTACCATGAAAGCTCGGACAAGTTCGATAACCGCCATTATCCGACCATAATTTGTGGAGTTATGCCCCTTTATGGACTTGCCGAAACATATATTTCAATCATACAAACAACTGCTCATTCAATGTGTGACGGGCGTATTATATACCGCTCGCGGTAAATTTGTTCCTTAAAAATTCCTGTATTCGTCCCCCTGCTTTTATCACCAAACCCCTTTATAACGCCAGAAACAATGCTGGCAGTATAACGAGGTTTTACTGCATATGTGTATGCTTTACATCGATCTATATCTATGTGTATGTTTTGGTGCGCGACATATTTTATTATCCATCACATTATGGGTAGTCGGATGTCGCAGTTGATAGCGCACTTGCCTTTCACCAAAGTGCATACCTGCCAAGTGACCCGATTTCGTCGGGTTACACCCGGGATTTTAGCCTTTCACCCGCTTTTATAACTTCACCCGCCGGGTTACGATTTTGACCCTGATTTCGTCAATTTAACCCGTTTTCACCCGGAATCTTTTCGTATATTAGAAGTTACCGAAGTCACTCGGAATTTTCTAGACTTTTCCATCCTTCTTCATAAGAAAGACGATATATTTCCTGTTTCCGTTTCTCACCAACAGGTCAGTTGCGAGTTGTTTATATACGTACTAGAACTGTTTTTCCAAATGTTTATATAAAGACCGTTGTTACTGAACTTGCCGACAAGTAATTAGTCAGGTGTTTTAACAAATAATAGAGTTGTTTTTACAATTGTATTAACGTAGAATAGATCGTATTTTGAAGGTAACGTTATGTCTTCTTGAAGAAAGAAGTTGTTATCGGGACTTGCAGGTTCTACTACACGAAATGCTAAAAAAAAGATAAATGTGCACATATCAAATGTCGTAGGAAATAAATTATATATATATAACATCAAATTCTAAAGGAAACAACTGATTATTAATTTTACCATCTTCAAAATACAGGGGTTCCGCTGCCGTTTACATCTTTCTCTGCACGTTTCTAATACGTTAAGACAAGAATTGAAGGTTCACGGTTAGGCATTTGATTGGTTTAAGACACGAAATACTGACTAGTTGCTAGGCTGATACTTTTCATTTGAAGATCACAAAGCTCTGAAAGCGCACTGATACTCCTAGTGAGATATAGGTGTCGACCTTATTCATTTGCCTCATTTGTCTGCATTGTGATTTCATTGTTACTGCCTTGGTTCTCAGTTTGTAATCGTGCCATTAACTTGATTTTTCATGGCGAGCATCGTCGATCAAACAGAAAAAGCTACCCTTTCCGGAGCATCTGGTCTTATTTTCGTTGTACTTTTTGTATAGCGCCTTTGTGTAAATCTTTCATTTGTTCTTAATGTTTCGCTGATTTCGAATTAAACACTTTTGTGTTTATTTATCTTCTTTGTGCTTATATGTTTGATAATTGATAACATAAAGGTGAAATCTAAATATATCAATGCATGCTGACCAAACAAGGGGAGATGACTGCGTCAGCTATGACCTTCCTGTCAAATCATTATTCGTCTACTTCATCTGGGTGTCGGACTAGATAGCCTGTCGGGGCCAGTATAACATCTCATAGTGTGGTGAGTACGCAGAGAAGGGTCGATATAAAGCAGGTAATAACGACCGATTTGTTATGTCACACAGGGTGTCGGATTTGACAGGTTGTTATGATTAATAGTCTGCGTTTCACAGGGTGTCAGATTAAACAGGTTATTACGACCAATATTATGTGTCACACAGGGTGTCAGATTTAACAGGTTATTACGACAAATAGTCTGTCTCCCATAGGGTGTCGGATTCAACAGGTTATTACGAAAAAAAATGTGTCCAACAGGGTGTCAGATTAAACAGGTTATTACAAACAATAGTATGTGTCCCAAAGGGTGTCAGATTTAATTAACAGATTATTGCAACCAACACTATGTCTTCCACAGAGTGTCAAATTTAACAGGTTATTACGATCAATACTGTGTGTCCCACATGGTGTCAGATTAAACAGGTTATTACAACTAATATTATGTGTCCCACAGGGTGTCGGATTTGACAGGTCATTACAACTAATATTATGCGTCCCACAGGGTGTCGGATTTGACAGGTTATTACGACCAATATTCTGTGTTTCATAAGGGTGTCATATTAAACAGGTAATTACGACAAATAGTCTGTCTCCCATAGTGTGTCAGATTAAACAGGTTATAACAACCAAGATTCTGTGTCCCGAAGGGTGTTGGATTTAATTAACAGATTATTGCGACCAACATTATGTCTCCCACAGGGTGTCAAATTTAACAGGTTATTACGACTAATATTCTGTGTCACACATGGTGGCAGATTAACCAGGTTATTACAACCAATATTATGTGTCCCAAAGGTTGTCGGATTTAATTAACAGGTTATTGCGACCAATATTCTGTGTCGCACAGGGTGTCGGATTTAATTAACAGGTCATTACGACCAATATTCTGTGCCACACAGGGTGTCAGATTTAATGGACTGGTTATAACGACCAATATTCTGTGTCCCACAGGGTGTCAGATTTACCAAGTTATTACGACCAATATTCTGTGTCACACAGGGTGTCAGATTTAATGGACTGGTTATAACGACCAATATTCCGTGCCCCACAGGGTGTCAGATTAAACAGGTTATTACGACCAATATTTCGTGCCCCACAGGTTGTCAGATTAAACAGGTTATTACGACCAATATTCTGTGTCCCACCGGGTGTCAGATTTACCAGGTTATTACGACCAATATTCTGTGTACCACAGGGTGTCAGATTTACCAGGTTATTATGACCAATTTTCTGTGTCCCACAGGGTGTCAGATTAGACAGGTTATTACGACCAATTATCTGTATCACACAGGGTGTCTTATTTGACAGGTCATTACGACCAATATTCTGTGTCCTACAGATTGTCGGATTATGAGAAATATTCTATATCACACAGGGTTTCAGATTTAACAGTTTATTACGACAAATATTCCTAGTCCCCTAGGGTGTCGGATAAAACAGGTCATCACGATCAATATGCTGTTTCTAACAGGTTATCGAATTAAAGAGGTCATAACGGCCAATATGGTGTATTCCACAAGGTGTCCTAATTTTCAGGTTTCGTTGTAAATGTATTTTCCATGATGACAAACTATTAAATTTGGTGTATTCTTATTCTATGAATAACTGTCTGAAAAGACAATTACATCTTTAACAGCTTCCGGCGGAAGTCATGCCTTCATTTCAATTGAAGCAAAACACGTTTGACAGTCATTAACTGGATTTAAAAAATAGGCTTAAACCAGTCAACGATGAATGTCTTTTGTGAATAGATATAGTCTGTCTATAATATACATTTATCTTTGGCATTTACCACAGACGTCTTCATCAATTACTTAATACAGCTTAAATGAGGATGGTCAAAACCTACTTCCGCGAATATTTAACTGACCAAAAGAATTTGTCAGCCAATACCTGACCCGTCTCTATTATTAGAAATCTGTTGATGATCAGGTCATGTCAAGCTGTTTAAGCTTACCTGAGCGTAACGTCTTATTTTCAAACTAAATATTTTGAAACGTATCCGCAAAAAAATATGAGTTTGTTTTGTGCATCACCTTTTTGGTCACGATTTTGAGCCACCTGACATTTTTTATTTATTTTTAGTTTTGATTATTATGAAATATTAGATGTTAAAGTTTTAGTAAATATGCAAATAAGATAATAATACAGGTAACACAGCGTCTCTTTTATCTTGTTAGTTAGCTGTTCATGTATGTATATTTACCTGTATACTTACCTGTTGTCCCAAGGTGACGGTTCACTGACGTAGACTCTGTTTGTGATAAATCACTTACCTCATACCTGTTGAGGAAGCGTTTTACCTATTGGCTCACCTTTGCTTACTTGTGCGGCTAGTGTAATTAATCACCTTGGTGTAATATTGTTACACGTACGTCATAGGCCGTGCACGTATATACCAGTCGCTCGTGCGGTTGTGATTAGACCGGGATAAAACACAAGAACATATATATAGGAATACGGGCTTACATGGAGACAGTCATATCTCAGATTTCATCAACAAAAGTAACGAAGAAAACTTATTAATATGTGGCACACTATGGACTCAAAATATGATATCGTATTTATGTGCTTTTTCCTTACATTATTGGCAGGTAAGTCTCTCTGTTATCCCTGCTAACCTTTCTACTTTACAATGACTGTATTTTTACATATGTATCCCCCCTAAAGACAAGCGCGGAACAGCAAACGTACAAAATCACACAGGAGGCGGAGCAACCCGTGATAAAACAGATATTACTTGTAGCAACGAAACTAGTTTCTATAAAGTATGTGTCTGTCGTATACATAACGCTTGTTTACTTCACTTAACACGTAAGTTCAAATAGAAATATATGATATGATTTTTTGTATGTAAATCCATGCACTATATTTTATCGATAATGCATTGCTGTGTTATTCGTCAATTGATGTCATGTACTAATATGTAAGCAACATATCTTTGTGACTTTCCCAAGAAAAAACATTGTCGTTATATGAAAAGTTACTTCTTGTCTTGGTTATCTCGAAATCGAAGTAAACTAATAATGACAATCGACATACGAAAATGATGAAGACATTCTCTTAACCGAAAAAAGAGAATACCAAAGGATATTTTGAGAATTATTCGTTTTTCCCAACCATTACGCAAGTGTATGTTGGGTAATAAATCCATTTATTGCATGATTTGATTATTTCATATCAAAATGAATGCCGCTGTGTTGACAATCTACACTTTTGTTTGATGATATAGGTAACCGATGCAACTCATTGCCGTCACCAAATCGCGATGTACACCATCATGAAATAGACAATTTTGATTTCATTAATTTGATAAAACGCTTGCTACATTTTATATAAGAATCTTCTTTTACATATAAAATTGATTCCGAAGGAATCTGCATTTTACATTACATATGATTTGCACGAAGGTTGAAGGACCGTCAGCCAGTGTGGTAATCAAACATTTTACATAATAATGTAAAATAACAGATTTGAAACGGAGATATTACGTAGCTTTTTATTACGCAATGTCGTGCATTTGCAATTTATGTCATGGTTAAATTATACTGAAAGGTAAGTAAAATATATAATTACATGAATCAATTACGGTTTAAATACGCTTTGAACTATACATTCAGTTTGCATTCAGAAAAAAATATGAATGCAATCGAGATGACAACAGTCGACATAAATGGCAAGTGTACACATGCAAATTAAACTGTTTTGTACTTAATGTGCTTTCTTCGTTAAATAATGCAATTACGCACTATAGCATGTGTGGCCTGTTTAATTTATTAACCTGCTCATATCTCATGCCTACTTACATCATCAGATGTCATTATTTTTGTCTGCTAGGAGTCAAACCCGGGACCTCTGGCTTATTAGTCTAACGCCTTACCGAATGAGCTAAAGAGAAATTCTCCCTAGCCGAGACGATAGGCAGCGGCTAGTATTTTACCATGGTGACATGATATATGTACTTTAAACCAATATCCTATAGATCAACATTACAATATTTGCTGTTTCCGTATCACTACGATATAATATATAGCCCTATGATTGCCAAAGACATTTGGCATCGTTACAATGAAAACAAAATATGCTAACTTAAATAGACAAATGGCATTCATTTTAAATTAGATTTAGCATAGTTGGTACATTTTTGTAAAGAATTCCTACGGAAAATATGATAATTTGATAACAAGAATGGAATGACAAAACATCCTGTTTGTTGATAATCCGTTATTTCTTTATAAACATCAATAGCATGCTGAATAGCAATTGTATACGTACATACATCATTGATACCCGGGGGTGACGCAGCTTTCGCTCTCTGCACCCTTGGAATATGGCATAGCAAAATTGAAGGCACGCCGCTGGTTATTTGATTTGTCTTGGGTAAAACAAAACTTGACCAATCGCTAGGCTGATACCTATCCTTTGAAGATTACAGAGGAGCGACAGCCGACTTCAAAGCCGGTCATTTTTACCGTTACGCGACCGCTAGATTATTTTGATTTATATCAAAGGATCGAACAAGTCTTCTTGTCTCATCAACAAAGGTGGCTAACACTGAGTCTTCTGTTATTTTCATGACATATCCCAGGGGTGCAGAGAGCGAAAGGTAGCGTAACCCCTGGAGTATCGAGGATGATGTACACATGGTAATTAAATACGTTTCTTGCGTTTACTTTTAAAACATGTTACTCAGTTGCACGTCGACTTAAGTCCTCTTTTTTCCATCAAAGAAGTTTCCTCAATGAAGTTTACAAAACACAGAAGAACAGTTGTAAGGTTTATTAATGCAATATTATTAAGAATCCTTCACTTTCACTGTTTGGTTATGACGTCATGTGATCCTATAGTGATGCTGGTACACAGTGCTGGACAGTCTCTGGCCACCCAGGATGTTATGCAGGTAAAGTTGTCGGGTGTTTCTGACACGCCCTAGTAGCCAGCGAGCTGGTTAGGTTTCTGATATTAGTAGTGCACGTCCCAGTGTTTCAAGCAAGAGTGATTTGTTAGTTCTACTGGTACCATATATATACCTTATGTGTACGTGACGACTGCACGTGCGTCTTGAACAATGGATATATTTAGGGACCCTAGCTCGTCACCAAAACGTCAAAAGTTTCCTTTTTTTTCCTGAACTCAGACTCCTTGGCGTCTGGTCAGGTCTGATGAAAATTTAATAATTTTTTATTTGAATACAGGTGTTGATAGATCACTTGATCAGGGGACTCTACCTAGTCACCAAACTGTCAAAACTTTCCATTGTTATTCCTAAACTCAGACTCCTTGGCATCTGACCTGGTTTAATGTCATTTGAATACAGGTGTTAATAGATCACTTGATCGAGAGTGGTACCAACCGTAATTTTCTAACTGAAAACAGCATAATCGGCGGTTCAATAAATACACGGCTTTTAAACAAAATGTATATATTTCTAACTTTTATATATCAATCCTAACTTCTATCTATCAATTCTAGCTTCTATATATCAATTCCATCTATATCAGTGAAGTATTCAGCCCCTTGTTCCGGTTCAAAGGTTATTTTCTTTCTTCGGTTTACGCGGCGGGAATATTCAGACGATTATTTTAATCTATATCTGGGCTTCCATATGGCTGCCCGCCTGTGAGTATAACCCCTATAGGATTACACTTACAAGATAGCTGTTCTCGATTTAGATTGGTCAATAAATCTGTGGCCTTGTTATAGCATGTGGATAAGAAAAAGATTCCCCCTTGATGTGTTTGATTTCATTAGACGACGGATGCTAAATATTAATCTTATAAGGCTACATAATGGCTATGTAAAATAACTATTTGATTTTAGTAAAGAATAACGAAAGTTATATCACACATTTTGCCGCGTATGCTAGCATAGCACGCTAACTCATATGTCAGATTGAAATAAATCAAATAATTTATAATCTTGGTTTTTTTCTGCATATATTGACAACGTTGCTATAATTATATTTTTTTAACAAACAACTGTGCCGTGTTATATTTTTATCTAACCGGAAGTTAGGGGAAGGTAACTGTTTATGGGGAAAACAGTGTTGAGTTAGGTTGGATGATTACTTACCTTTTTGCATTTTTTTTTTTTTTCAATATCACCTCGTTTCTTATCTTTTGTCTGTTATATTTTTATCTTCATTACTTTTTACAATATTTATAAAACTAGATATAAATGCATGTCAATAAGTCTTATGGAATGGAAACGCGAATGAGGGACCCCGATATTGGTTGGTAAACGGATATCTTGAAAGAATTCAGGTTTTCGGACATTTGGACTGGTTATGTTTCCCGTCTGTTCAGAGAAACTGATTGGTGAAACGCGAGTGCCCTTACCGCTGCGCGGCATGGCCATCTATTATTTTCTCCATTTTGCTGGTAACAGTACGTATTATTCAAACAACCACTTAAATGAATTGTATGTGTCCTAAACATCTGCCCACGGTATATGATAATTTAGACTTCGTTCTGACAACTTAATATATTTCGAACGAATAAACAGTATACTGTTTAGATTATAACATGACCCATATATTTCAATATTGAAATTAGTTTCAGGAATAGATATCACAATGAATAATGCATTGTTTTTTTATAATGTATACACTTTACAATAGATTCTCATTTATTCAGACTCCAACTGTATATTCTGTGTTTGTGTATAATGACGTTTGTGCACTAATTTCAACCATATTCAATATACTTCACGGTCCATTCTTCCTTTTATTCAACTTGACAGTTATTCACGAAAAACTAAAACTACATATACATATTTACTGTAAAAGTGGCAATTTTCGTGTGTGGAAATATATTCGCACGATGACCTATACAACCTTTTGCGGTGAGGAAATGTTCGCGTTGGAAATCATTCTATTACATGTATCTTCAATGTGTATGATATGTAAATGAATATTTGCGTTTGAATATTTTCACGCTTATTTACTCAACACGAAAAGCGCGAAAATGTCAATATCGCGAAAATGTTCTCTTTTTTCAGTATTGTATATTTGCTTGTAAGATGTTATTCTATATATGTTTTTTAAACTGACATATTTCCCAATATGAGAGATAACAAAAGAAATCAACGAAATTAGAAACCCACCAAAAAATAGTGATTTCACTGTATCCACCGTTTTAAGCGATTCATAGTGATGCATTTCCTTTTCCTGCTGCTTTCTTTTTTATGTTTGTGTGTTACGCTGTTCATTTGAGTGTGTAAATACAAATCGTTGGTACATGTATATAATGTGCCATACTGTTAATAATCAATAATGATTTGCAGGTCAAGTTATTATGATCACCAAAAAAGGACAGTCCGTGTACGATAAAAAAACACTTTTTGACAAGTTTACCAAGTATAAGTATTTTGTTTATGGCCTTGTACATTCTAAATAGGTGGTAGTTCCTCGTGGAAGCTCGTTTGTGATCGTGTTAGTTCGTGTAACTCCGTGAAAGTTCGTGTGGCTCCGTATTAGTCCGCGTAACTCCGTGAAAGTTCGTGTGCCGTGTAACTCGTTGATAATTTGTTGTCCACGCGGTTCAAAAATGAACTAAATTTCCCAGTTGTAATAGTTCAGTTTTCCCCATCATGGCGATCCAAAATATCCTTACTGATATTGTACATATTCCTACAGCGGATTTTGGCCCTTTGCGATTTCTTTTGGAAACTTAATTACATAAACATTAGATAATATTTAATAAATCAGAGTGCCGGCACGAAATATTAAATCAAGTTCGATATGGAAACAAGGACGAAATCATTAACTCCAATTTAAATAATTACAAACCAAAATCAAAACAAAAACGTTTTACCAGTATATTGTATATATTTGAAAATATAAATATAATGACGCAATGGTTTGCTTCTAACAGATAGCTTCAAATTTCACTTAATTATGGATGCAAATACATATTTCCATTAAACACGGCGGGATGTCTGCTTGAACTCCGTACGTCATATACCCAGGAATGTAATATATTATGATCTACGAAGTAAAAAAAAAAACAAAAAAAACATTTGACAATTTGTAATGATATGTGATGACAAAAGAGACAATCGATATGTGAAGAGCAAATAAGAAAAAATAATAAACCATTGTGGAAATAAAAACAATGATTCATTATTGACGCAACTCCATTCATTTTACTGTTTTCCTTGACGTATATGAAAAACATGTCCTGATTGGTCCGTTTATGCACAAGGTCTAGCATGAATAACCAATGACAGTTGAGTTAGCCTGGGGCTACAGGATGAACCAGCCATAAAAAGCGCATACACATGTGGCTACCTATCCCTGTAAAACCTAGGCCCATCGCTGATTAATGGCTTAATGTAAATTATACAGGTTTGCAAAGACATGTGTATCGTTGTTTTCACGCGCGGCAGATATAACCCATAAACAGTATTTCTACCTACTTTATATTTCATAAAAAGGTAACACAATTGTATATTAATAAAACATACCACAATGAATGTTGAAAAATGTTTAGTTGTTAGTTTTTACCAGTATGCACGAACACGAAATATATTTGCAAGGATTTTTATACATTTGCTAAAGGCATGTGATAGTTTCAATGAGGTGCGTTAGAAATATTGAATATCAATAAAAAAATAAAAATAAAATCTTCAATTTTTCTATATCCTTATTTCCTATTCAACTTATCTTGAACATTTATCAGTATAATATCACGTGGAATAAAACTCGAGTGCAGTACTCGAGAACAAACATACAATTGAACAGATTCAAGTTAATAAAGTGTTCTGAAAGCATTTGTTCAACTCTCAAATTAATCGTCCATATCGAGGAAAATCTTAATTATATTCACACGGGGTTTTTTTGGTTTGTTTTCTCCCTTACTTTTCTATGAAGTGTGAGTTGATTGAGCTACTCAGTACATATAGTTACTGTTTACCGGGAAATTTTCGCTGCATTTGAATTTTCGCCTTTTTTCACCCTCCGTAATGAGGGCGAATTTATCACTACAGCAAATAATTGTTAAATACATAGAATACATCATAATTAAATGGGAAGGCGAGTTTATCATTGAGCGAAAATTGATTTTACCGTCGAAGGGCGAAAATTTGACTGGGCGAATATAATGTTACCGTCGTAGGGCGAACATTTCACTGGGCAAAAATGTCCCGGTATACAGCTAGCATACTGTATGCATTCCGGATAACAAGTTGCCTAACTAAAAACCATTGGTTAGATGTTACGACTGTGGTTTTACAGTGTAATAGAAATTGGTCACTTCCGTTCATTGTTAACACAAAATTGGTTAATTAGTACATAAAAAAACATAAGCAATGCTGTCCTTAATATGTGGTAAATTTGTTGTTCAGATACTTAACAGAATTGTATTTTATCGTTACAGATTGTGTATTTTCTCAAGCAGTAAACAATACAGGTAAGTAAACGAAATAACTTAACAATAGCATAATAGATATTGTTTTCAAAGCCTGTAATATTTGTTAGTTAACCTACCACAAACTTATCTTAAGGTCTTAAAAGAAGGAAAGAAAAAAACTACTTTCGGAGAGTTTTTTATAACACAACAAAAGTCTCTGGAAAGGACTATTCCGTCTTTTCGTATTGCAGAGTTATCTGCTCTTGATAGCAGATATTGATTGTTACGTCATTTGTTTGTGAGAGTAACGTCATCATTGTTTGAAAAAACGACGTAATTTTCTCACACAAACTAATGACGTAACAATCAATACATACTCACAAGAGCAGATAACTCTGCGATACGAAGAGACGGAACATATAGTTTGGCCCTTTTGTTGGCCCCCAAATCCATCGAAATTAATTTTTTTCAAAAGAACTTTCAAACGACTGTTTCTTTAATTTTGAATACTTCCCCGGTACCATTATGTAAACATTTATTTATGTTTTCAATTATGCCTACCATGGTAACTAGTTAATATCTGTATAACTTAACGAAATTCGAATATTCGGTCAATTTTGACAGGTTTTCGCATAGTTTTGCTCTTAGCTACCAAAGGGCCACTTTTGAACAAACTTCATATTTCTTCTAAAGATGTATTACAGGTGCCTACACATTATCCTTAGATATTAAATATGTTCAAGCAAATATATTCATTTTTTTCTTATTTATGCAAATTTGAACTTGTTACCAAGGAAACAATAATTAGAAATACAAATGAATATTTTCATGATAGTATTTACTGTGATGTTTAAAAAGTTAAGTATTCTTACCGATTTGAGAAGTTTTCAGCTACAATACATATATTTGTTTGCAACTATTTCCAGGATGTGTAACAAATAGCTGGCACCAGAAATGGAAATCGTGCTATACAAAACACTGTGGGACAGATCCAGGAATATGCATATCGAGCAGAGGAACGCCTGTATGCAGGTAATGTCACAGACAGCTACCACATGTGTGGGGAACAGGAGGCACATTCCTTACCGAGCCCCTCGTCTCTCTTCTGATATTGTGTATGGTTCTGTGATGAAATTCATCTCCTATTTAAAAATCTCCCTAGTTAATATTTGTGTATTTTGTTTTGAATTGTTTTGCTGTAGAATTGATCAAATCGTATATTTTCATTTTTCTTTAAGGAAATTTAGTGAAATGTGAAATACAGATATGGTTGATGTGTTTCTGTTAAAGTATTCCGTCTTAGCGTATTGCAGAGTTATCTTCTCTTGGGAGCAGGGATTGATTGTTACGTCACTTGTTTGTGAGAGTAACGTAATCAATTTTTAAGAAAACGACGTTATTTTCTCACACAAACCAATGACGTAACAATCAATACCTGCTCCAAAGAGAAGATAACTCTGCAATACGCAAAGACGGAATAGAGATATTGCGGTCACAGAAATATCTTTCATTTCAGTTATGATTACCAAAACTTTAATATGCATAGTTGCCTCCTCGTTCCGGTTGTCTTTTGGCTCTATAAGAAGGTTTTTAAGATAGGGAGGTCACCCGTGTCTCCATCGTCGATATATGGGTCACGTGGAGGTAGGGAAGGCGTTTTTTGTAATTCTTTGCTTTTGGGCTACACAAATGGGTGTAGGTATTGAGTATGTATGCTAAGGTTATGGCAATTATTACATCATGGACATTGCTTTTACATATAAAAAAAAACTTCAAAATTATAAAGTGTTTTATTAATAGATTTTTTATGTCTTTGAGTGCAAGAATAGATAAAAATGTGGCAATATAATGTTTATATTAAAACGTCAAACTATACAGAACATTATGTATTTAGTTGTTTTTATTATAATTGTCTCCCTTAAAAACATCCTGAATTTATAATTTGACAATAATTCATCATTTTAACGCATTTCTTTGTTAAATACTTTGCATGTTTTAAATCCTGGACTTTTTAAGGACATTGGTGTCGCGTTGAGGTAGCATACACTCTGAAGAAAATATGTGATTATGTTTTATATGTTGTGTTACAGGAGAGTTAAAGACAACTGTGGTATGTGTGTAAAAAGGTGGTTTGTCGACAATCAAGTGATCGAGTGCGAGCGAACGACGGCATCTAGAGGTACGTCACCTTACATACATCCTTGATACTCCGGGGGTTTCGTTCCCCTGAAATTTGTCATAGCAAGATTGAAGGCACGCGGCTAGCTATTTGATTGGTATCAGGTAAAAAGAAACCCTGACCAATCGCTAAGGGTTTTGCCTTCCCTTTGAAGATGACAGAGGAGCGACACCCGACTTGAGAGCTAGTCAATTTTACTATTAAGCGACCGACAAATTCTTCTGATTTACACTTTGATTTAAACTAGTCTTCTCGTCTCGTCCCGATGGTGGTGAGCACTGAGCCTTCGATTTTGATATGACATAGTTCCGGGGTGCAGAGACAACCCCTGGAGTATCGAGGATGCCCTGCATATTACACTCAATACATGTGATAGTGTCCATGGCACCCCATACGTGGCACCGTCACCTGAACTGTTGCCCTTGTTACACAATGTATTTCACCATTTGGCCTTGTAAATCATTTCGACTCCCTCAAGAGCACCTACTAGTACAATTTATGCTATCACGACCCAAACAATATTAAATGACACTCGTTTATTATTGCAGTTTAGGTAATGACGTCGCACTGATTGCAAATTTCTTTCTGAAAAAAAACAATAACATAAAAACATTTAAAACATCGGTGAGAGATTGGTTTAGGAAATAACTAACAGTTTTTAATTAAGGTAATTTTTCTCATTTTCTGTTCAAAAGGTGTTTAGTGAATTGAACATAACATTGATATAAGCAGCTATTTGTAAAAAACGTTTCCAAGTCCCACCTTGAATTTTAATTCATACCAAACAACGTCACACCTCAATAAAACACATGCGTTTATTTTGGTATCTGCAGAATGTCCGCCAAACATCATACTGAGGAATTGTCCAACAAATCTGTGTAACAACGTGTGTTCAGACCGCCGTTTTAATGGGGCACCTTGTCGGTAAGTTTGGTTGATTAACCTATACGCTTGACCTACCGGTATACTTTTTAGTTCGTATTCATTGACCAATCAACAAACCATACGGCAATACGTCGTGGATGTTATGCTATGTTCACATATGGTGTATTAACAGCACGCTGATGTATTAGCAGCATCACAATATCGTTATTGCTCATAAGAATGTATCGCATCTGGAAATAAACACAACATTTTCTGTATGATATTGGTTTCCAGATACATTCAAGCCTCTGGAGATTGTTTTTTTTTTTTAAAAAACTGTTTTGCCCAAAATATTCCGGTTACATTTTTAGTTGAAGCTATGTAAGGGCTCATCGTTCATAAGATGGTGATTTTGAGCTCTAAACACTGGTATTAGGATAGTGTTTCCTGCATACCATGGATCCATGATATATTTTTCATTAGTTGACATTGCTTTTCTTTTCAGTGTTAACAGATGTGGAGCCTGCACTCCAGAATATTCAGTTTCTGGGTTGTGGATGATGTGCCCCTCCCAACCATGTAAGTTATTTAACGAAATAAAATCTACATAAAAGTCAACGTTTAAATCGAAATTTTTATTTGAAGCATTGAAATGGCAAACCATGGAATGATAAGCTATTATTTATTAAACATTAATATAAATGAGTTATTCAAAGAATGCATTTGTAAAAAAAAAGCATAGCATAGAAGAGCAGTCTTCTATTTTTATAATCATCACCAGCAAAATTAGCTCAGAAACCACAAAAAGGCGGCGTCGTGATATAAAATGTTTTTTTCTGCCCTCGGGTCCAGAATTTGGTATCGGTGCTGACTGAAAGAATTTCACCCTCGGGCAGAATATCAATATTCCGTATACTTACATACAATATACTATATTAGTAACACATGCTTTATATATATATTTATATATGTTTCAGTCTCCCCCGTTTCGGCAAATAATGACTTGACAGGATTAAGTTTTTTCCACCCAGAAGCCGCAGGAGCCGGTATGGCCGGAAATGCATTACCAGCGCAATCCATTTCAACGGCTAACAGCAATTTCGGCCTTCCACAAATTGCGCGAGCAGTTTCATCGTCTAATTCATTTCGCTCCGCTGGACCGGGGGACGTTCCTGAACCATCTAGGTGTGCAAAGGGTATCACGGAAAGGATTTGTCAAGATCTGTGTGCTAACGCACAATGTGAAAATTATCCTAACGCAGTCTGCAGGTAATATCTCTACCTGCATTGTATTTAATGTGAGAATATGTTATTATATTGGTTTTTCATACAAATGGAAATCGGCAACAGGTAAAGCATATAAAAGCCCTGGGCCCACTTGTATAAAACATCTCAACTCTTGAGATTTCCTCAAGTCTAAGATTTCCCATAGACAATACATTGCTTGAGTTTGTCCTTAACTTTGAGATGTTTTATACAAGTGGGTCCTGGTCCTTAAAACTGTAACGGAATAAAAACAAAACAAAAAAATATAACAGTGCATATAAAGTAAAAATAGACAGCCGTGTTTAAAAATACAGAATTATTAATTTGAAATCATATTAGATGTAATTGTTGTAAAAAATTTATCAGAAATATGATACGGTTGCGACATATAACGGCCAGTCCGTCAGACTGGAAATGGAAACCAATACATGCAAATTGTCAATTAACTCGCACCATTCTGACCTTGAACACCAGGACAAGCCGACCAGTACCCGCAACAAAATATACATTTATCAATCAATAAGAAAACTCCAATTTCAACGTCAAGTTTAGAAATAAAAAATCATGAGTCTCTAAAATATATATATTCTAATTAACCTCAAATCTTTGACAGCTATATAGAAGAAAAACATTCAATAGAATATCATCATTAAGCATATATATAGAGTTAATATAAAGATGACAAGGGAGGGAGAATTAATCAGAACTAACCACACATACCTACCTATGGAGTTCGGACAAGGACAAACATCTTGTCTATTGAAGCATATCGTGCCTTTTTCATTTCCATACATCATTCTCTTAATTTCTTTCCGCTTGTTTCAATTGCATTCCTTTCTTGAGAAAAACAAAACAAAACTCATACAAATACACACGTGAAACGTTTTCAACATGACGAAAATGTTATACTGAAACACATGCTTGCACTGTAGATAAAGACGTATTGAAATCGACTTTAATTCCATATGATATATAATAATATTTAGTATATGATATGAATTGAATGGAAATGCTGTTTGAAGTTTTGATCGTTGATAACATCAATGTATTATGGCATACTCTTTAATTCAGAATCAACTCATGCGGTACTTGTAGAGCTGAATTCTACATTGGTGACGAGAGAGTAAACTGTCGAGGACAAAGTATGTATTATTTGGGGGAAGGGACACGTACTGTTCAATTGTGTCTGTCGTATATTGGTGGTAAAATATGTAGGGGGATATCTATAATAATAATAATAATTGGAGGTTCTTATATACCGTTTTATCACAACCTAGTTCGTAGGTCGTCTCAAAGCGGTTCACAAATTATTATCCGTGGTTATAGGGTCTTTGCAACTAGCCAGTACATTTCTCAACTCCCTTGGGAACATACAGCCGGAGCTGCCATTTCGGCGCTAACAGCTAGCAGCTAGCATTCAACAATTCTAGCACTGCCCAACCACGTACTCATTTACAGCTGAGTAGACTGGAACACGCGGAGTAAAATATCTTGCTCAAAGATACAACACGTCACCGTGCCGTGACTCGAACCCGCAACCATTCGGTCACAAGCCCGGCGTCCTACCACTGGACTACCGTGCCTCCTATATAAGTCCCTGACCACAGCAGAAACCTTGCTGACCACAGTTATCTGGTTTAGGTTGTGGTACTGTTCGCACTACAACAACTCTACTCATTATACACCTTCTCCCTTTGTCCTGCAAAGCATAGACATTTTGGCAAATACCACTCTAATACTGCAGGCAGTCAGGGGGGACGGGTAACACATTAATGCATTCTGTCCCTTAGTGGGGGAGGGATAACATGTTTACTCATTCTGACCCTTAGTGGGGGAGGGGTAACATGTTTACCAATTCTGACCCTTAGTAGGGGAGGGGTAACATGTTTACCAATTCTGACCCTTAGTAGGGGAGGGGTAACATGTTTACCCATTCTGCCCCTTAGTGGGGGGACGGGTAACATGTTTACCCATTCTGCCCCTTAGTGGGGTAGGGGTAACATGTTTACCCATTCTGACCCTTAGTGGGGGAGGGGTAACATGTTTACCCATTCTGACCCTTAGTGGGGGAGGGGTAACATGTTTACCCATTCTGACACTTAGTGGGGGAGGGGTAACATGTTTACCCATTCTGACCCTTAGTGGGGGGACGGGAACATGTTTACCCATTCTGACACTTAGTGGGGGGACGGGTAACATGTTTACCCATTCTGACACTTAGTGGGGAGACAGGTAACATGTTTACCCATTCTGACACTAAGTGAGGAGACGGGTAACATGTTTACCCATTCTGACCCTTAGTGGGGGGAGGGGTAACATGTTTACCCATTCTGACACTTAGTGGGGAGACAGGTAACATGTTTACCCATTCCGTCTCTTAGTGGATTTTAAATGGAGTCGTAAAGATGACAGTTGTCAGTGGTTTAGAGGGAAGACATGTTTTCTAAGGTAGCAAAATAATTTCTCAATTACTGTTTGTGTTCAAAGCAAACAGCATGTATTATGGTTATATTATCTTAAGTCGGAAGGTGTAAAAATAAGCATATATAATCCGTTCTCTTTTGTGCTTCAGAATGCCCTGCAGGTGTGACCTATTTCCACACGTGTGATTCGTGCGCATACAACTATTGTCACAACTACCCAACGGCAACGTGCAGGTAAACACATATATAAATTATTTACTTACAATTATTAAAAATACTGGTGCAGCTGTTGGGTTATATATTTATATATTTATGAATTTTAATTGTTCTCAATAGATCTCACTATAAAAATATCCAAATAATTTACTTGCATGATGTAGACATATACATTAGAAACTAATTTTCAACATTCTTTTTTTAAGGTTATGAAATATTGCATACGGAATGTTTTAATATTTTCATTGTTAAATTATACAATATAATTACCTCTAATTGAGGGCGTGATTCCCATTTTTATTGTGTTCAAATCGAAGTGCACACCGATAGCCGTTATTTGGGATATGTTTTTTCATATACATTAGACCAAGTAATCCAATTTCTTCAATGTAGAATACTCTGTAGCACAATGTTTCCATTTAAAGATCACTGTCCCGCTGCCCTGCCGTTTTGCCTATATACATTTACTTTTCTTTTACTTCCGTTTGGACATGAATGTAACACATTTTGATTAGTAAATCTTCATTGACCAGAAAGCTCGATCGAGTACAGCAATAGCAAAATTAACAATCTGAAGTCCAGGGCCCGTATTCATGAAACCGTTCTCACGTTCAAGCATGAATTCTGTACTCAAACCAGCTTTCATGAAACTCACTTAAATCATGTCAAACGATCAAAAAGTCAAATGGAAATATTGAAGGTATTTGAATTTAAGTCTCTCCAATTTGTTTTCAAAATCATTGACAAAATAAGATTTTTTTATTAATTTATAACCGGAACAAGAAATTAGACTTGAGCACAAAATTAATGCTTGAGCGTGAGAACGGTTTCATGAATACGGGCCCAGGGTTCGAACTCTAGTCTAGCCAAGATAATTTTTCATACTCTTGTGGAATATATTTTGTTTATTTAATCTGGAATATTTTTCATAAAAATCCTTCAGTGTATGGTTTCATTTTTTTTAAAAGATTTAGCGAAGCTTTAGCCATGTCGAAAAAAAAAGTGTGAATACTAAATTACAGATATTGGCAGTAGTACGGTAATTGACTTATGAAAATAAACACTTTACATATAATATCAAAACACATGGACATGATTTACGTAATGAAACATATATAACAATATCCAATGTGTTTCATGTTAAGGATCTCCTCAACTGCACTGTATTTTTGTTTTTGATTATGGGTTTTTTCGTATATAAAGTACCCTTCAATTAATTTCGTTTTGCATATACAACATTTTGGCAAAATCACTCCAGTTGACGATATAGAACAGTATGTCAGGGAGATAGAATAACAGTTTAAAGTCCGGAGTTTAAATCCCGGTGTAATCCCTCTAGTATTGCTACGCTTACAAAGCTGTAATTGATGACTATATTTTATTTCATTTCATCTTTATTATTATTCATAAAAGTCAGAAATAATTTAACAAAGCTATAGAGTCGGTAAAACTGTTTTCAATACGTATATACAGATTGTATCAATGCTACGAACATATGTATTCTGAAATCATTATGTCGCATAAATATTAAATTTTGTACATTTTTTTACAACAGAATGGATGCTTGTGGTAAATGCAAGGCTACCTTTTGGCTGAACGGCAATAAAGAAGTGAAATGTGTGGAGCAGAACATTCTCGATCGTAAGTACATATGTGGACACGTACACCTAATGTGCACTGTGTGTTTTCATGTGTGCATAATGCGCTTACCCTTCCGGAACACCTGGCCCTATTCTAGCTGGTACTATATTTTGGTTTCTGCTTCGACCTACTTGACATTTTCGGGATGTGGAAATATTTTTTTTTGGGGGGGGGGGGGGGGGGGGATTCGCATTGAAGAAATGAGCAAGGAAAGATCCCATGCAAAATTATAATTGCTAAATATATAGATTACAAATACAGGGAATACATACTTTTTGATAACCGTTCCCAACGGGAAAAAATCCCAATTACAATCGGTTTAAAATCCACAGCGTTAACATGTTCTAACTCGAAACAATCCGTTTTTACAGTAAACTGTTTCATTTGATAATTTATGAAACATGGGTTGGGGTTTGAGTTAGATGCATAATATTGGCATTTTGACCAACACAAAAATATTGTTTTATATATATAATTATATACTTGATTACATGTGTTACATCAAGCGCGGTAGCGATAGAATGGTTCAATATTTGTGTAGATATCTTCACGTGTTAAATAGTTTTGTAATCAACCAACATATCCCCCAGCCCTATTTGTCATTATATTCAGTAATAACATTATGCTTGCATTATTTTACAGCATGCCCCGATAACTTAACAAAGCGTTGGACATGTTTAAAACCTGCCTGCCACTTCGATACCTGTCCGATGAACTCCAGCGTTTCTTGCATGTATGTATATCAAAGAGATACACACGAATTTCGTTATACTGGCATAAATTATTTGTACAACATTATTGTTGGCGTTCTAAAGATGAGGTTAATATATCATCAACTTGACATAAACAAAGATCNAATTTAATGTATTACCTTTGTATCAACTATTTTCATCAGACACTATTTTAAGAGAAACGAAAGAAGACCAACTAATAAAAATATTAAAACCGAGTCTCAACAGGCCACAATAAAATTTTACGCCAAATTGTCCACCAATCTTGTGTACTTCGTGACGTCACGTTACTATTGTAGTGTGATGACATGTAATTGTGACGTCACGACGTTGTTCTCTTTTGAATAAACCTGAAGAGCCCTGTGAAGGGTGAAAGCAGCTAGTTTTTTAGTCGGTCGTTAATTTTATTTTTTCTATATTTACTTCCTTCACATGGACATTTAATCACTTTTTATTATATATATATATATATACATAGCGACCTATATGATTTAGATGTTTGAACACACTAACTGTCATACGCATCATAGTTATCCTTGATACTTATATGTTCTGCGTTATGATGCATCGTGTTATATCACCAAAATGACACACTATAATGAAGTGTTAGAAAATAACAGAAACTTGATGTATATCGGCGATATAAAGGGGCGAATGGAAAAAAAAATGGAATTATAAAGGATTTTTTATCTCAAAATTTATCTTTTTCAAATTCTTTTTTTGCGTTATAATGCATCGTGTTATATCATCGCAAGGACACACTATAATGAATTGTTAGAAAATAACAGAAATTCGATCTTGAGGTATATTGGCGATGTAAATGGACATATGGGAAAAATGGCATTATATATATTTCTATTTTTTTTGCAAAAATATCTTTTTCCACTTTTTTTTACGTTATATAATAAAACGGATATTCTGTAATGAATTGTAAAAAGAAATACAGAAACTAGACCCTGATATAGATATTTGCGATAAATGAAGTGGTGAATGGGTGGACAATGCATTATAAACGATTTTTTTGGTGCAAAATAATATTTTTTTCAATTGGCTGAGTTGTTTTAAAAATGACACTTTCATTTATATGAAATTGAAATATCTTTTGCGTCGCATGTCTGCAAAACTCCTAAATCTAATAGGGTGAACATTTCTTGAATCTGACAAGTATTCCATGACTTATGGAATGGGTTATGTGTCATCTCCATTTGAATACCCCTATTTGACCAATATAAAGGCGCATTCCTGATAAGGTCGCCTGCACCTTTTTCTGGAAAAAAAATCCAGCAGGGTACTTGGTCGCGACTAATTGGTTTGAATATTTCTGAAGTATTCCAGAACTATTTTGTAAACATGCATGGAACATTAAACTGACAATTGCATGATACTAAATGGATTATTGTTAAGAGGAATCATTTGAATGACATTATTATGTGCCACGAATATTATTTGTACTGGCGATAAAGATAATTCATACAATAGGAATGAAACAGATTAAGCCTCTTATCTGCATGAATGTAACAAAATGTAGGATAATGTCACTGGACCGAATGGAGTTTCAGTAGAGTATAATATTGACTTCCGCCTCTGCTAGCTAAATTGTGTTGCATGCTATAAGTAAATTGTTTCATATAGAGCGATTGCGTTACTGTACACGAAAATCTATATAAATAAAAGTGATAGTCGCAACTGCTTATTTTTACACTATGATTATTTTCGGAATGCATACTAATATTTATTATTTTTGCTTTGCAGAACCAACAACTGTGGAGGTTGTATGCCAAGATACATACATAAAATCACCAAAGAGGTAGCGCAATGTCGTGGGTACTGGACACAGTTTGAAGGAAAGGGTATGGACAAAGGTCACGTTGCTACAGAAGATGAGATAAGAAGGGTAAGAGCTGACAGAGACAGACAGCTTCGGCAATCACAGGTAGCTTTAGAAAACACAAATTCAAGAATTATAGAACAGGTAAATCAAGTCAGAGGGTCACCTGATTCACCATCCACACCTGAAAGACCTTTCCAAATCCGACCGGTTGGGGGAGGACAAAACAGAAATCAGCAGGGAGGTTTTGTTAATACGATGGTTGAGCAGAGCAGAAGACAATCAGATCCGAACGCTAACATTGATTTGTCCCCGCGTCAAGGATCTGGCAGCCCCATTACTGACCAAGATAGAGGTTTTTTCATGGATCTCCTTAGCCAGATTGATACTCCCTTAGGAGTACCAAGTCAATCCTCAGTGCAATCAACCGGGTTCGGGGATTTTGGCCGCCGGATGCCTTCCTCCGGATCCCCTAAACCATCGGATCGTCAATTTTCTAGACGCTTGCCTGCTCAAAACAATCCAACTGCAGAACAACAATCTAATAATGGATTGCCCGCTAATAATGACCCCAGATCAGATGTTTTGAGGGGCTCTGAACGCCGAAGACCTTCCTCGTCAGGATCGTCAAGACCGTCTTTACGGCATGCAGACACATCTGTGCCACTTCCAAACAGCCCGACCCAGAACGCACAGAGAAGTGTTCCAGTAGTTGCCGATCGTCTCATAGATCCGGTAGTTGTAAGAACAGAACAGGTGCCAGCCAACAACGTTGGATTGGAAAATTCATTTCCGGTCGTGCAGCAAAGAGTTTCAAACCCGGGAATTCCATTACAACATCAGCAAAATGTTTCTCGGAAAAATCGTCAGGAAAACACACAAGCTGTAGCTGAGATAGACAAAATAATACACAATTTGGATTCAGCATTGCGAAAGGCACATCCTCCTCGTGATCGTTCAACGCCGACAGCCAGCCGGCCATTGAGTTCTCAAAAACAGCGGAAGGTTAATAGCCCTCTAATGGGTGACTCGTTAAGGGCAAAACCAGTCATAACTTCTGCCAAAAAAAGACCTTCTGAGAAACTCTCCGCAGGGAAAAAAAATGCCAAGCTACCTCTTTCTTCGCGCACAACAGACAAACCGTCATTACATAAAACGAAATCAATAATGGCAAACAAACCAATCCAAAGAACACCTAGAAGAAATCCGGACAGGAAAGTAAAAAACGCTCAGCGTAAGGAAGCTTCTGCTGCTGCAGCGAAGAAAGCACCGAGCAAACCTGAGCAAAAAACAGCTTCTCTCGGGTCTTTAATGTTTCCCGCAGAATTTCTTTCCTTTTTCCAATCTCTTGGCGGAGGAAACGCATTTGCAATTCCAAATAAGAGGTCGGAAACACCAACCAGAAAAATTTAAAATTAGTTGCATTTTATCAACACAACATATTCTACAAACATAATCGTCAGCATCAATGCCTGGATTAATGTCACCAGTACTTGTGATCATTCTTCAATGTAAGAATAAGACTTTACATCCTTCTATACTGTGATATTACCCAAAATCACAACAAACGGTATAGATACTGAAAAATGTATTGACTATTCTTTCGTGTATACTCATTTTCACGATTGCGCTCTAAAGCGAAAAAATGGTTCGAATTTGGTGATTTGTATTTTCGTTCGTAGAGTTGCTTGTCCATTTACTACGATTAAGAGCTAGATACAAGTGAAGATATTCACCAATTAGGAGGAATAAGCTTCGATTCGCCAATTGAATTTGATCTGTTGCTGATATAGGTAGGGGCTTTCCCACTTGGCTATCTGTCATAATTTTTATTATGTCAATATTTGTTTCTGCAGCATTCACGAATTTTTTTCATTATCTTAAAAAGCCTAAACCTGTAGTTGTGTTCTCTGTGAAATCAATTAATGTATTCTTATACTACTAGGTTGCTTGTTTTGAAGAAACGAATCTTTGACGTATCTGTGTGTGTGTCGTCATTTTAAAGATATTGACGGAACGACATCAAACTTGCAGCCATTTGAGATAATAAAATCGATGTGTTTAATTCGTATTTTGATATTATGACCGTACATTACAAACACAGGTGCTAAGGGAGAAGTCCTAAAGAGCTTGACATAGTCAAGGTTTATCAAAGACCGATTATTTTCTACCAGTTGTTATAAGATGGTGAAAACTTCCCTTATGCCATTACAATTTGAAATCCTTTGCAGTGCTATGTAGTTCGTTTGTATTACTGTATACCAGAAATTTTAGGCAAAAAGGTATTCGCAGGTTTTGCTCTCCGCAATAAAGGTGAATTCATCATGTCAGCGAATATTTGCACACAACATTCCATGCATAGTAATAACATTTGAAGGGCGAAATTAACACTGAGCGAACATGCAATTTACTGGTGAACGGCTTATATTTTACTAGGCGAAAGTTTTCTCGTATAAAGTATATGTGAACAGTTTCGTTCAGAATGTATTGCATTAAGCAAATGTTTGCATAGATAGTTTACCTGTCATATTGGTTTGTTAACGTTCGAAAAGATAAATTGACATAATTTTCAAATGAACATATTTTGTTCAAAATGTCTATATAGAAAAGAAATGAACAAACTGTGTCTCCCTTTTGTTGTTTCATTGGCACTGTACCAATATCCATGACGTATACAATATCGTTATTCTTATTTTTTTGTAAATAGATGTACAATAACATTTTTGTTTTGATTATTTTTCCTCATTAACATCAAACCTACATTTTACATCTTGCAGGATTTACAATCTGTATTTTCCTCAAACGATAATCGATTGTCCAGGTAACATTTTTGATGAAAAGTTTATATATTAATAACTAATACTTAAGTTTAAGAAATGTTATAGGGCGTTTGAGGAATATGCAAGCGCGTGGGGTAATACCGTTGGAGAAAAATAGTAGCACGAAGGCAATGATACATTTTGACGCATTGTCTTTGATACAATCCATTTTGATAAATCAAATTATTTAAAAAAATAATATGTTCTTACGGTTGACCGGTCTTCCACGCATTCCACACAGTAATCACGAAATCGTTATTAAATTATTTTTTCCCCGTTTGTGTATGTTAATTGTATTATTTCAAAACAGATAAACATACGGGATTGACACATTAATGTCTCTTACACATTTCCATTTTTATCCATTTTAAAGCATTTCAAAACAGATGTATGTATAGAAATGCTCAAACGTGAAACCGATTAAATAATAATGTTAACTTGAGATGATAATCATTTGAAGTCGTACTTTTTTAATAGGAAAAGTTAGCCATTGCATTCTTACATTTTTCTGTTTATGATTTTATTTTAAGGAAATTACATATTTAAAGTGTCTAGATGTTTCAGCGTGATTACCTGTTGTTTTGTTCTTTTTTCGCTAAAGAAATAGTTCATTTACAAAAATTGTCTCATGACAGGGAGTTCCCCAACACTAAATTTCCAAGTTTAGTGTCAATTTCGGAAGTGTCCATTTTTAGTTAATAAGGAGATATTTTGTATCGAAGGATGTTTGGGGTTTTTTTGGAATGAACTTGCTGTTGATGTGTTAACGTTATATCTATAATTAGCTGGGTATTCGTGCAATGTTTTTGTTTCTTACAGATTAAATATTAAAATACGGTTCTAATTTACATGTTGAAGGGAATCATTGTATAAATGCATCCAATTTCTTCAACTTAGAAGTGAATATCCGCTTCTTTTTTTTTATTATTCGCTTCCTGTCAATTTCGCAAACAATATATATAAAGTGTCGTACAAAGTATTCATCATTTTTTTAAATTATTTAATTATGCCTGGTATATGACAATGAAATATTAATACCGTTAAATGTCTGCCCAGTTTGTCAAAATCCAGCACATTTTGAAACCAGGTGTAATCAGTGCCATAAGCCGTAAGTCATATAGATAATTAAAACAAAGAACATTCACAAACAAAAACAAATTTACACACCAACTGTACTTATTAGTTTTGATTATAATAAAACATGGTTTACCGTATATGTTTCCTGGTGATGATCCTTTTAAATCCCATTATGGATACGTTACATTTTTAACTTTGATAACGTGAAATAACTTGATTTTCATGTTTTTCATGAATATATTATTGAGGTATTGAAAAATATTACGATTTCGTTTTATATATTTGTATATTGCCAATCACGTGGTAGGAAATATTGCCTGATATTTAAGATAATTTCAAGTACAGAACGAATAATACGGTTCCGAAAGATTTGTGACAAGGGCAGTATTTGATTATATCAATCTGATATTGTGATATATTTAAAATTACATTTTCATTTCCACGATTCAATCCTTTGTTGTTGTTGTTGTTGTTGTTTTTAACATTTAGCTCATGTTTACATTTTTTATACAAGATAACAGTTTAAATTATTTAAAAAATAATTGAATTGATATTTTTTTGTCATATATCTTATTTTTTTCCTCTAAATTTTATATTTTCATTTGGATAGATAAGAAAAACAGGCAATATTATAGAACTCAATAAATATATTTATTCAAAAAGAAGAATATAAAAATGTGTATGTGTTTGACTACATGTAGTATTGATATTGATATCATAAAGCTATTTATGCAATTGCCGTGTATTGCTGTATAGTGCGCTTTTTATGCTTTAATGCTAATTCCATTTTTTTCTATGTTGTCGATTTCATCCCGTACAGAATATTTGTTTTACTTATGAAATTTATTTCATTGTTCTATTGTATATCATAATAAACAAAATATCTGTATGACCTGGTTTATCTTTTATTTTTATCTTTCATTATACGTTAACCCTGCTATGTGTATTTTTACATCTTTATTGTAAATAATAACAGTGTTTCGATATGACATTCAATTTTGTTTATTTTTATTGTTAAGCGTGGCATACAAATTAATTTGCAGTCTGCATACATTTTGATACACTAGGAATATTATTTTGAAGGGGAACATTATACCGGGTCCATGTTATTTATATCAATTGAAACAGTAAGACTCTACTTTGATGGTACGCAATTAGGATATACACGAATCGGAAATATTGACGTTTATAGTGATAGCACATGTATAGCAAATCTTCATACATTGCATTCTATCATTTCACCATTTGAATCGATCACAAGGAAAATTAATTTTGTCACGAAAAAAAAGATTTAATAACGATTGACTCGCAATAAATTTATAATTACAAATAAACACTAGTCTGCCACCACTGGGTCGCAGGTTTGATACCTACGTGGGGCAGTCGCCAGGTACTGGACATAGGTCGGTGGTTTTTCTCCGGGATCTCCGGCTTTCCTACAACACCAAAAAATTGGCACGTCCTTAAATGACCAAAGCTGTTAATCTGACGTAAAACAAAAACAAACAAATCAATTCAATTATGCAATTCAAACTACAGAAAACATGTTCAAGTTTGGCTTCTACTGTTAAAGCATCGCTGAAAAGTATCGCGAACACTTCTTTGTCCTATTTTCAACACATTCCGTGTTGTTTGGTGCGAGCCAGTAAACATAAGTTTACCGTTGATGCATTACGTGAAACGGGTCTCACTTGATGCATTGATACTCATTACATATGCAAGCGTTCTATCACGTTGATGAATGATAAAGTAAAATAAACTCTTTTGAACCTGAATATATCTACATTTATAATTTGTTGAATATATGTTTACTTATCAATCAAATTTCGCATAGTGGTATAACGTAAAAAAGAGCGTATTATTCACTTTGTGATAAATAGGGGGTAAATTATATATGCGTTTTAAGAACAAACTTGATATACATTTTCGTCAGGTACAATATATATAATAGATCGAGATATATGAATAATTCCCTGGAATTTACTCTGGTGCTATTAACATGAAATACTAGTTTCAAAATAAATCATCTGCTACAGTCAAAGTTGTAAATTTCCATAATTCATTTTATGACAACATTTTTCCTTTTGCCGTAATTCTTTTTTCGTACATTTCGTTCCATTTTTACATGATTTTTTTTTTATCTTGTTGTCTATTATAACACTTATTAGTCATAACTATATGTTGTTTCGATATCGTGCAGTAAATAAATACTTGGTTTGATTTTCATGTTCAGCTTACTTTTTTCTTAAAGATGTGCGCCGTTACTTCGTAATTCTGGTAATTTCTTCTGAATTTTCTCCTTTTTTTCTATATAATGAAATAGACCAATTATAATGCAAGTTCTGACCAATAAAAAACACACTTGCATAAACCTAAGACATTGCGTAACACAATTATTCTGAAAAAGAAAAAAGGCAATACCAATTCAACAGAACCCCGTGACAAAAATACCTACATATACATTAACTTTAATATAATGTAGATAAGAAAAAATGTCTACAAATGATATATGTTTTTTCATCAATCGGAGCAAAGCATCCTCACCACATCCAGGGTGCTATGTGGACGAAATAAGTGATTTAATTTTAGAACATGAATATAAGTGTGGCGATTGATGCTGGTTAATGCTCACTCGTTAATTCATTGTCTGTAAAGTAA